TTTCACATGCAAGCAAGATTCTCCTGAAGATTATCCAAAAATGATTAGAACAGCACATCGGCAGAGAATTTCCTGAAGTCCAGGCTGGGTTTAGAAGGGGTCGTGGTACTGGGGATATTTTTGCTGATGTTAGATGGATCTTGGCTGAAAGCAAGGAATACCAGAAGAATGTCTATCTATAGATGTTTCATTGATTATGCAAAGGTATTTGACTGTGTGGATCATAACAAACTGTGGCTGACTCTGAGAAGAATGGGAACCCCAGAACATTTAATTGTGCTAATGCGAGACCTATACTTGGACCAAGAGGCAGTAGTCAGAAAAGAGCAGGGTAATACTGCATGGTTCAAAATTGGGAAGGGTGTACGCCAGGGATGCATCCTGTCTCCATACCTTTTCATTCTTTTCAACAACATACCATGTGATTTCCAGTCTCTGAAAACCTGCTGGAAGCTGAGAGTCGACTTCCACTAGAAGGTACACAACAAGAAGCAGCCAGTAGAGCTCTAGGAGCGGGCAGTTTAAACCCTGTGGCGCAAGAGAACACTTAGGGGCGCAGAACTGTCTGGAGAAGTGCAGGAGGGTTCCATTTCCCCACACTGAGATGCCAGCTTTCAGCCTTGGCCACGAGCAGATTGGACGTCTTTCGGGTGTGTTTTAGCGGCCGCGAGGCCACGTCACCGAGCGCCGAGGCGGGGAGAAGCGCGCCCCGCCCAGCCCTGCGCAGCGCGCATGCGCCCAGCTCCCGGCGCTGAAATTCAAATTTGAACGGCTGGAGGAGGTCGTGTCTGACACTGGAGGCCGAGGAGAGGCAAGTGTGGAAGATTTCCTCCCCCCGGACTCCCGTGTTTTCTCCAGAATACACATTGAGCTGCGACTAACTTATTTTCTTTTGCTGAATTTGATCCACCGTCTCCGTCGCCTCGTAGACTGCAGGCGGCGCGTGGGGGCAATGGACCCGTTTACGGAGGTGAGACGACTTGCAGGGTCAGCCTCTCAGGCTCCCTCTCAGCTGCCACCTTCGCTTACTGTCCTCTGTCAACTTTGGCGCCTTACGGTTGCGGTCGCGGGTTCGCGCGTGCGCAGTGGGCGTGTGCGGGGTTTTGCAGTGAGATGTGTGCCGGGTGCGGGGCTTGCCTGGTGCATGGCCAGCCTGGGTGGTGAAGTTACTGACCAAGAAGGGGGCTGACTCAAGTGTCCCTGAGGTCGCCTGCGATTTGTTGTTGGAAGGTCCAGATGAAGCACAAAGTGTGGCTTAAAATCTGGCGGAGACGCCAGTTATCCAGTGCCAGTGGCCCTGTCCTCCAGAGAGGGAGGCAGTGGCCTGATGGGACGCGTTCCAGTGGGGGCGAAATGCAATGACTTGGGTGGAGTCGGTTGCACAGTGACTCAAGGCAGTGTGCTCAGCTGCCTACAGGGGGTGGATGAATGGGATGCCGCCCTTGGAGCTGTGGATTCGGGAAGCTGTGATCATAACCTTAAAACAGGAGGTGCCCGAAACCGTTGCACCTATCCTGACCATTGCACCCATTGTAGTAAAGCCAGTAGCATCATTTGCCATTTTCCACCTGATGATGGAAGATGTTTCATATGAGTTCCACTGTTGAGCTGTGGATCAAAACTTGTGAAATCAAAGAGTACGGACAAAAATTATTAGAATGTAGACAACCTATCGTGTGTTTATGGGCATATTGCAGGCATATCTGGCTGTTCTTTTATTTATTCGTTTTTGCATCTAGATTAGATTACATTGTTTCCCTGGCTCTAGCTCCTTGAGAATGTATGTAGGCGTTTCCAGAGTTTCGGGTTGCGAATAGTCTACTCCCTTTCCCCCCCCCAGACCACTTCCTCTTTCTTTAGGTTGTTAGGCAAGTTCTAAACTGTTATTTTCTGACTTTCAAAAAGACCCTTAAGAGTCTTCTATATTAGATTAAAAAACATAATTGCTTTGGAGAGTAATTGTTTTTTTTTGTGGGAGGAGATTTATGCAGTTACAGTGCCATAGATTAAATTTATGTTGTTATTAAATGTTATTAAAACATTTAAACAGCTAGAATTTACTTATGTTCAAACACTACAGTATCTTTGTAGAGTTTTAAAAAAAAAGCATCAACCTTTCTTAAAGGTTTTAACAGAAAAATCCACAGCATTTCTGGTCTAGCCTTAAAGAATAAGTATGGTTATGCACTTATCTTTCACTTATATTAAAATGAAAAGAAGTATCCTAGTTTATGATAGTAACTCTTAAACATTTGTCATTTGTATTCTATTGAATAATCTGTGTATTCTCCCAAGTGACAGATAAAATTAAGTATTTTCAAAGTTGATTGAAATTGTACTTCATTTTCTTTATATTACAAATCTCAGTTAAAATAAACTTTCTATTTAGATCATTTTAGAGAAGGTTCAGGAATAGATATGGATTTATATGTATAGTTTATATAATGAAAAGTTAGATCTAGTCTAGTTAAAATAAACAGCTTTCACAGGTTTTCCTTAATTGGAAATAACTGAGCTATTTGATTGGCTCCACCTGTTAAGTTCTTAAAGAGCCCTGCTTGCAGGCTAATGGTTTAATCTCAGTAGCAATTCCTTGGGAGAAAGCTTCCATAAAGATTTACAGCTTTGGAAATGCTATAGAGCAGTTCTCCTCTGTCCATTGAGTTGCTGTGCATGAAAATCCTCTCCTCAGGTTACTGGTTGGGGTATTAGGTATTTAACTCTCGCATACCTAACATTTTGCATAGTGAAATGGTTCATTCCTTTTGTGGTTTGATATTCTTGTTTCTATTGTTGGAAAACATGCAGCGCTTCTTTCAGCTTCTAAATTTTTGCACCACAATCTGAGAGACAAAGTTTGTGTGTGCCTTAATTTTTTGTTCTTCACACCAGATTCTTCCAGTTTTCCTCATTCACCCACCTGTGAATATGAGATTTTTGAAAGCAAGAATTATTGTTTCTGATTCAGAAATGTTTTCAGTAAGACCTAGCCAGCCTTTAAATGCTTGGAAGATACATCGTGATGTCTTGGTTTATTTCTCTGCTGCTTTCTGGTATTATGTCTGGAATCTTATTCTTCCTTATCTGTGCTTTCATCCTGTGTGAGGTAGTTTAACTCCAGCAGGAGTGGCATCTACTTCCTAAACAACATGTCTCTGGAAATATGAACATTGATAAATGTCAATAGTTGTAGAGGGGCTTCAGGCCTTTTGTTCATAGGATTGCTATGAGTCGTGCTCAACTCAAGACAATCAACTACAACAGTATGATCTGTAGTATGACAGGTCTGTCAGTTTGCTGTGATGCTGAACTCTGTGCCACTGGTGTGTCAGGTCCCATAATGGTACCCATGGTGGGCAGGGTTTGGTAGAGCTCCCAGATTAAGACAGGCTTGGAAGCGGGATTGGCATCCACTTCCTAAACAACATGCCTTTGGAAACTATGAACTCAGAGAATTGATGATAGAGAACAGGGTTTGGGTCTTTTGTTCATAGGGTCCCTGTGAGTCATGTTTGACTTGACACTAAACAACAACAACAAAAACAACCAAATAGTAGTTGCTAGGTCCTTTTAGTCGTGTCCATTTTTTAAAATTTTTTTAATGTTGAGATGGATCGGCACAGTGAATAGCAACAGTTGGCTTAAGCATGGGGGAGAGTGTGAGAATGATGATAGATAAGGCAAGGTTTCTATATGCTTTTCATAGGGTTGCTATGAGTTGTAGTCCTATTGAGGCACCACAATAGCAGTAAATATCAAAATACATAAGGATAGAATAGTATAGTAACTCAAGTACACAGTTTTGGCATTTATTATTATCACGGAGCAGTATAGTTTCATTATGTTCCTCTCACCTTTCCCACGAAGTTATTTTGAAAAACTAATAACCATAAAAGTTTATGTAGAGATACATTTGCATTTATCAACAGAAACATAATCATAATGCCATAACTCTAATAGTAAGTAATTCTTGTTCGAAACAATACCAAGTCTTACTCATTGTGGTGGAGTGAGAATTGCCTCCACAGCTGACCCTCCGTTGATCCCCTGTGATCCCCATGGGAGATTATTGCCCATCTTTCTCCCTTGGATCTGCTGGTGGTTGAACTGCCGGAGGGATGTGGCCTTTAGATTAATAGGGCAACTCCTTTTGGACTATGTCTTCAAATCCTCCTCTATCAGATTTTATCAAATGACTCAGATGATTTTGCAGTTGATTTGTTTGAATTAGGATACAGGCAGGGTCTGAACAGCACTATCTTCCAGTGTTCTTCATTGATAAACTAGAAGTACAGAATTCAGGGATTTTTCCCTGCGGCTGACTTCAGTTATTTGATCAGCTGACAGCAGAGAGAGCGAGCACGAGCCTGTTAACAATAAATTCTCAGAACTATTGGGTTTTGTTAAGAAGTAGTTATATAGGAGCTCTGGTGGCCTAATGGTAATAAGCTGCGTTGCAATCTCAAAGGCACGCTGTTTGAATCCACCAAATGCTCCACTGGAGAAGGAGGGGCAATCTCCTCCTGTGCAAGTTGGATCCAACTCTATGGTACACAACAAGAAAAAAAAATTATAGAAAAGTGGTGAAGAGTGCTTGACACAGAAGCTAGCCTTCTTGCATTAGCTACATCACTTGCTGCAAGTTATTTAGCCTATATGCTAGTTTCTTCATTTGTAGAAGAGTAGTAAAAACAATTGACCAAATAAAATTTTGCGGATGAAACGGAATTATTGTGTGCCAGACACTGAAAGTATATTAGTGTTGAGATAAAACTACTTTAAAATAGTTTGTAAAGCATTTATTATGAAGATGTTGATGTTATGTGCTATTGAGTTGTAACTGACTATAGCTAATCCTCTAGCAAGCTTTCAGAAGCTTTAAATAGCATGACAGATTGCCTGTTTTCCTTCTGAGGATTAGATGGTGGACTAGAACCATGTGCCTTTCTTTGGGTTGATAGCACAACTCCTTACCAATCTTTGCAAATGCAGGTTGTGCTCTTATAAATGGATTTTCCAGAAAGAAATGAAAATCTTTGTATCAGGAAAAGAGTTGCTAGAATTGGCATATTAAAAATAGCAAGAAGTTATTTTATCCTGCATATACTGTATTTAAGGAGCCCTTGGCTGCTTTTTGGTGGCCAAATGGTAGTCTCAAAGACTGAAAGTTCAAATCACCAGCTGCTTCAAAGGAGTAAGAAGAATGATCTCCTCCCATTGATTTACAGCCTCTGAAACCCACTATAGGGTCAGCTGTGAGTTGTGTGTGCTTGCATAGTAGGTGTTGGGCTGCTGATATGAAAGGGCAGTGGCTTAAATCCACCAACCACTCTGAGGGAGAAAGCTGAGCAGTCTATTCCCTTTGAGATTTACAGCCTTGGAAACTGAAGGAGATTTGTCATGAGTCAAAATCAACTGGATAAAAGTAGATTTTGGGTTTTTTCCTCCCATCCAATGCTGTTTTTGAGAAGACTGGCCATTGCAATGCTTCTTTAAACACTTGTCACGAATGATTTGTAGATGAAGCAGAAATTGTTTAGAGACTGGAAAGCTTCAGTTCTTGAAAGTTCTTCAGGTGGCAGTTATTATAATGGTTGGTTGTTTTTTTTTAAAATTATTTCTGTACTATTTGAAAAAGGTGTGGTATTCAAAGGAATGTGCCCTGTATTCAAAAGAACAGTTACATGCTTGATTATAAGCAAAGGCTGTTTATATTTATTAAGCTGTTGAGTATGTTTCCCCTAGATAATGCATTTTCTTTCAAATCAAGATTGATATTTTATTGTACAGATTAGGGAACTCTTTTGTTTATCTACTATAATTTTAGAAAGTACTGGTGGCCTAGAGAAAAAGGAGTTGTGTTAGCCAAAGCAGCTTGATTTCACCAGCTGCTCCACAGGAGAAAGATGGACAGTCTCCTCCCAAGCAAGTTATAGCCTCTGAAAATGCACTGAAGTGTCAACTAGGAGT